TGTACAGCCTTAAAAGGAAAAGGATGGGGTTTGATGGTTGTGTTGGTCAATGTTGATCCAGATCCAGCAGAAGAACCTGTTGATTGCAATGTCACCATTCAGCTCTGCTGATTTAGAGGCAGAATTACATTGTTGGGGATTATCCAAGACTTCACCATCTCCCCTCACAACTCCCTGTGTCATAAAATCTCTGAGCGTGTATGTCAGAGCCCTTGTGTCTCCAGGCAGATTTATCTTCACCTGCTGCAGGTCATGATTGCCCTGGTTTGCAGTTTCTGGGCTTTTCGAAAGTGAATTATTCTCAGTGTTTTACATATGTTTTGCTTACATCTATCCTTTTGCTATCTCTAAATGTTACAATCTTACAATGCTAAAGAAAGATTTATATAAGCTGAAAGGTCCTGAAAAAAAAATAGAGATGAAGCCTCAGCTGTACTGACATCTGTAAGATTTGAATCTGGTTTAAGTTCCATGAGAAATTAACTCCCTAGCTTTTCCCTCTTCCATACTCAGGTGCATGCACATGTACACAGAAACCTCACATGATTCTGAGGGATTCTGGGGAAAAACCCTCTGAATTATAAGTAAGAGAAGGTATTTTAAAAGAAATTGAGTTTTATGTAAGTACTTTCCTTTTCTCTTTCATTTTTACTTCTCTTTCTTTTGCTCTTGCTCTTCTCACTCTTTGCTCTCCTGATGATAGTTATGGTCTCTCCACTTTGAAAGTAAGGGGTGAGAAAAACAGGTTCCTCCCATTAAGCTGTAGAAAATTTCAGGCTCTTTTCTAGTACTGATATGCTGACTTTGCTCTCCTTTGTAGTAAACCCACAAATGCTTTGCACAAATCAGCCTTTAGAGGACAATAAAGAGCTCCTGTGTCCGGACAAAAAGTCTCAGCACTTAGTAATGGAAATGGATTTTTCCAGGGTTTTTTTTTTTTTTTTTTGTTTGCTTCATGGCTTCAATATGAATTTTTCCTCAGAAACTGGGTGTGGGGTAGCTCAAGTGGTGGCTTTCAGGCCAGGCAAAACCCACAGGACAATTTGTGTTCAAGGTGTGCAAGACCAGGCTGGGTGGGGCTTTGAGCAGCCTGGTCTGGTGGAAGTGTCACTGCCCATGGCAGAGAGGCTGGAACAAAGTGGTCTTTAAGGTCTCTTCCAACCTTTCCAGCTCAAAGAAGAGCTGAAGGATAGGTTGGGCAGCCCTACAACCTATCGCCTCTTCCTGAATGCAGATTTATGTAATGCTTGGAAATCTGAGCTACCCCAACACTTATCCTGTGAGATTTGGGATCCAGCCCTGGCAAGGCAGGACTTCCCTAAATCTAAATTTATAACACAGGCAGCACCTTACTGGCCTGTAATAAGGGCCAGTGCTTCCAGGATTTCTAAAATTACACTTTTATTGGTGATATATATTTTCCACTGTGCCCAGGAATAGTTTGGGTTAGTGCTAGTCAGACCAGGAGGAAAAAAACCCCAGAAATTCTGCAGATGAAGAAAAGCTCAGATGGCCAATGCCTCTTCTCTGGCACTACTTTTATCTGCTAGTATCAATATATTTGAAGCTATTTGAGGTTGTCAATATAACTTCAACAACCTACTGAAAAGCAACGTTATCAATGTATATTCTCTGCAGTAAGGTCCTCTAAAATGTACTGAAAAGGGAGAAAAGTTGAATGAAAAAAGCATAAAATGACTCTGGCTCAGGTAGTGGACAATATTTGCTGCTGTTAATGTAAGGGTCTGAATTGTCTGTTCATGATTGAATAATACTGGAAAATCACTCTTCATGGAGCATTGAGTTTTGAATTCAGGTCATGATGAACATCTCAGATAGCAGCTGCACAAACAGGGGTGTGCCAAAGGTGTACAAGAGTCTCTGATTTTTTGCATAAGGTTGTGCAAAATCCAGCAGTTCTCAGGCTCACTGGCAGCTCCTTTGAAGATTTCCCTTTTTGTGCTTTGTGTGAAATTTGAGTTTGGAGTTTGAGCAAACCCAAGACTTCTGATCCCTTCATGGGGACTATCCTGTACTTCAGGTTGGACACATTTGCAGATCTTTATGAACTAAGACTCAGTGGAAAAAATTCAGAGAGAAGCGTGAACTTGAAGATTTAAAACAGAGGAAATGGGGAAAAAACTGCTTCCATCTGATCTGTGCCAGGCTTTGAACCCTGATCTTAAAAATTAACATAGAACAGGTAACATCAGGAGAAAGTGGAGTACACAACTCTACACTGAACAGCTGTAGGGGAATTTATTCCTAAAGAAAACTCCCTTTCACCCCAATGCAGTAGAGGCTGGATCCAATTCCACTGATAGATATCTGATGTTATAGCTCTTCAGAAAGCCTTTCAATATCTTAGAACTTTAGTCATAGACATTTGTGTGATTCCTCTGATTTTTTTTTTATGGTCATAAAAATTCTCTTCAGATTTCTGAAGATTTCATCATATCATAGAATCATGGAGTGGTTTGGGTTGGAAGGGACATTAAAGATTCTCTTGTTCCCCCATGGCAGGGGGTTGGAACAAGATGAGATTTAATGTTCCTTCCACCCAAACCATTCTATGATTTTGTGATATTTCATCTCAAGAAGACAAGTAGTGGTAGTAGGGGTTGAGATGATCTGGGTGTGAAGACTGATGGATTTAGGGAATGGGAATAATGATTTTTTTTTTTTTGCCTACATTAGGTTTAGCTGTCCATAGTGTAAGTGACTAGTGTGTTCTAGTTGACTAATCTCCCATTCTGGTGCAGATCTAGACCAGACTGTTCAGCCAATGGAGTTTAGAGAACAATTCTAGCTACACTGATGTAGACATCTATGTTAGACCTGTTTAAGTCAGATTTCTCGAGTTCCACAGGTGAGATTCCTGGACACTGTGGCAGAAGATGTACAGCTGCCTGCAGTGGAGGCTCCTACAGGCACCTGAGCAGAGTCAGAAGTCCAGGTCAGAAGCTGATCTGACCTCAGCATCTCTACACTAGCTGGAAAAGAAATATGGTCTCAGCTCCACCTCTGGGTCTGGCAGCCCTCACCATTCCCTGAGCACAATTAGAGAAGGCTCTGATTTAAGGCCAGGGAAGATCCTGTGTAGGATCAAGGCCTGTGCTCCTCCAGGTGCCCATCTTCAGTCCAACACTTGAGCTCTGCAGCAGACATGAAAGAAAGTGCTGACTGATCCAGAGCTCCCTGCAGAAACTTTTCCCTCCAACTGCTGAAGGCATCAGAGAAGGAAGGATGGGAGCTGTACCAGTTGATAGTTTTGTAGCTAAAGCCTTCAGCATTTTATCCTGACTAGTATTTCTACTTTAAACACAGGAATCCTTAGGGATTAGCCACCTCTTACCACATTTCCTCTGTGTGCATGCAATAGGGAATTATCTCTTTTTTCACAAGCTTAGGTAGCTGATTAAAATCCCTCTATGAACATTCTGCATAAATAAGGATGTTTCTCTTGATGTGTGCATGTAGTTGGGTGTTTTGGAGTGTGTATTATGGAAAATATAAACACAGCTGGGTGCTCTGTGTGTGCAATTGCACAGCACTGCTTGAGGAAAGGAGTGGGATGGTCCTGGTGTGTTCTTACACAGGTGGGGTGCACACAGATGTGTGTGAGAATAAACAGGAATGTCAGGAATGTGTTCACTTGGGGATGGGGAATTACCCTTGCCACTCCACATCTCAACAGGTGTATGGAAGAAGTGGGATGTTGGGTATTTTTGGGATTCCACTCCAAGTCTGAGAGACTAAACATTAGTTATCACAGCACCTATCAGAATGTTAGTAGCTAACAGATGTTGGGATATTGGGACATGGAAGTTGTCTGTCCAGCCAGTGAAAGAAGAGTGGCTCAGCTGGTTGTGCTAAAGAATATACAGCACAGTTCTAAGCCTTTATAGTGCTATGAAACTTGCTTAATATTATGGTTTGTAAAAAACTCTCTGGGACAGTTCGTCACATATATTGGCTAGTGGATGGAAAAAATTAGCAATCAGTAGCCTCAGCAAGTCATGTATTCCCCTCTGTGGCCTGAGCAAAAGACAGGAGCACCTCCAGGATGTTCCATCCAACTTATCTTTGATAGATAAATGATCCCATGATTTCAAGGTGGCCCTCTGGAAGATCCCACATCACTCCTGACTGTATCTGACACATTGCCTAAAGCAAAAAGGTGAAATTGTGACTCCTCCTTTATTAGCTCAGCAACTCCTGAACAAATAAACTTCTGTAACCCCAAAACATGTATACACTTTTATACATAATTAGGATAAAATTCGAATGAAGTTTGGACTTGGTGTGCATACATGGGTCTTTGTGTTCAAAACAACCTCTAAGCCTGTTTAAACCAGTACATTAAATATTGTTCAAGAACCAAGTCTAAATATATCATCAGTCTGGCTTTTTGATGTGAGTCAGTTTTCATTCTCCCAGATTTTTCCAGCGTGTTGTTTGGAAATTAGTGCAGTAAAATTGTTTTAGTAGGTAGTGTACTTTAAGGCCAACCTGCTTTGGAAGCCAAAGAGTTAATAAAATGGTCCTGGTAAGACACTGTCAAGTGATTTCAGCAGCTTAGAAGAGCTTCTGGAACTATTTATTTAATTGTAAAGGATGCAACCTCTTCTTCCTATTACTTCTATTTTGATTAATTTACACTAGTTCAGAACTTGAGTTTCTGCTTCTGGACCATCCACTTGTAAGCTGTGATTTGGCTCACGTTTAAAGCAAGAAAATTTTATGGGAAGATTTGACCAGTAGATGCAGAAAATATCTTATTCAAACTCAGATTGTGGTCCTAGAAGCAGGTTGAATGCAACAAACTTGAACTACATTGCTGGGCAAACCTGCATTTTTAATAGGCACAGCCAGCAGGGATTATGGATGTTAATTAATTATTTGCATGTCTTTTAGGTTAGGGAACAAATACCATTAAGACATCATATTGAGTCTAAATCAAAAGTATGGATTTTCAGTTTCCTCTTTCAAAATCATACCTGAAATGTGTTAAATGTCTCTGGATGTCGAGGTCTAATATTGGAGTCGGTCTGGAGGATCCGAGGGGTGATCTGTCTTGACTTAGAAGGTCTTGGAATTCTTTACATATTTGTCTAAAAGGAAAATGGAAATCCTTCCATAAAACAGGTGTAATCTTTCCCATAAAGCTGATTCTCAAAACAGTCCCACCTTGTCCTGAGTGACCTCATTCATAACAGAATTGCTTGGCAGAATTGTTGTTACAGAAATTAAAGACAAACAAATCCATCTCTGGCTTACCTGCCCCAAATTCTCAGAACTAACAACATCCAGAATCTCTTGAACAGGAATATTTTCCCTGTGAAACCATATTAATGCTAACATTTTAAAATGTGATTTTAAAATCCCTGAATAGGACCCATTCTGGCAGTGTAAAGTCTAGTTTAGCTCACCTACACTGGCAGCAAGCCTTATGGTTAAAGGAATTGGTGAATTTGCATTAGAATATACCTGAAATGTGTAAATTACTCTGTTATTTAGTTTGTGTAAATACACCAATACTTGTACATGGGCTTGTGTACATTGTGGGCACTGCTTTTTCTGCAAGTTGAAGCTCTGGACATTTTGGACTTGCCTTCTTGACTCCCAACCCTTAGGACAAAGGGGGTGTGAAGGAAGGACCCTTTGTAGTGAGAATTCAGGGTCTGTCTGCTCTGGTCTCCCACCAGCATGGTAGCCCATCTTCTGTGTAAAGGAAGGATGGTCTCACTGTTTTCCCTCTCCCACTCAGGCTTCTCTGAGGCTTCTCAGGATGCCTCAGCACCTGGGGGTTTAATTTATTCCCTGGAATTCCCCTATATGGCACCTAGCAATAGGAAACACCCGACAATAAGGCCTTTTGTTCTTGTGGTGTTGCCTTGCTGTTTGTAAATTAGCCCAGGAATGTTCTACCGACAAACTTTTAAAAAGAGAAACCAAATCAGTTCCATTTAGCTCATGTCCTCAGAAGATCATTATCTGGAACATGAATGAACAGAGATCACTTACTTTCACTTGGTTTATGATTCAGTTAATTGAAAAAAGGAAAGGGGATCTGTCCAAATCGGCATGGAGCTCTCCATTGCCTGTACGGGAAATAAAGGCACTAATGGGGGATCAGGAGGGCATGGTCACCTCCAGATGATCAGGACACCCACTTGGGGACCTGATCTTTGTTGGGTTAAGCTGGTACTGGCCACAGTGACTATATGTAGCCTGGTAACAGTGCCACCCAGTGAAGAGTGACAAGGGCCACCCTCACACCTGCAGACCATTTGTCACCATCTGATAACATCCATACAGTTATGTTCCTCTGGCAGCATAGATGCAACAACTGTGCCTAGGGCCAGTTTCTAATGCTAAAGAGCATCTCTGTTGGTCCATGATCCCTTTTAGGAGACTTATTGCACACCTGGTCCTAGATAAAGTTTGGGTTCTTCATTATCACTTTGTAACTCCTGTCTTTTGGGACATGGGTATAATGGAAAAAAATGGGTAAACTCAGCTCGTTGGTCTTTACAAAGTCCTTCACTGCTGAGTTATAAGCAAGAAAACTGTGCTAGGCTGGTTTTACCCTTCACTTTATGACAGTGATACAAGCTGGGAACAGAGATCTTGGATAGCTCTCTCTTGACTAAGAGGAGATGCAGAAACCGATTTCCTGCTGTGCTGCTGGACCCCATCCAAGCCTGATTTCTCTAAATGCTTGTTATCTGCATGGACCTAGACACTGACTGCTTGAAAAGACAGCATCACCCCAGCCTTTCAGGCAAAGAGAGGTATTCAGCAGAAATGTATGTAAATGCAGCATACAGTTTTAATGAATCAGGTCCTTAGAGGAAAAACAGTTCCTTTCAACAACTGAAAACAGTCAGTCATTTTGGCTTCTAAACAATCCACTATCCCCAGTCGGCCCTGTCAGCACTGCTCTTCTCTCCTTCCTCCAACCTCTACTTTCTACCTGTTGAAAAAGTTCATCTTAAAAGTTCTTTTATTTTAACAAAGGAAAGTGTCAGAACCAAGTGTGCAATTAAGTTCCCTTCTATCTTCACGTGTCAAAAGTCTTTAGTGAATGTTGGCAGATTGAAAGAAAAGAAAAAAACTTTTTTATTATACATGAAAACCTGCAAAAGGCAGTAACCTACTTTTTTTTTCAAGGGGATTTCTAGGCAAAGTGGTGTCTCAGAGCCTCCACTACCAGTAAAATATCACCTGGGGTAGTGACAGGGAGAGGGGTTGGCAGTTTTTTGCTGAGTTGGACTGTGATTTTGAAAAAGCAAAGGAAGGTGGTTGTGCTGTTCTAGGGGGGCCACAGGTTAATAAAAATAGTCCTGGTCAGTCCTGCATAGAAGACATCTAATGATTTGTGATACATGGTCAGATGATCCACTATATGACCAGAAAAAGAGAAAAAAATCTGTACTGGGTCATAACAAGAGCCCATGATCCCTACCAGTGGCCAAAGCAAATGTCTGGTGTTGAGTACAAGAGTGGGAAATGTGACCCCATGAATCTGATTTTTTCCAAGTGTGGCTGAGTTTCCAGGTATCCAAGGACCAGATATCAGAGAAGTGTCATGAGCCAGATGCTGAGTAGTCTGTGCTGGCTGTAATCAACTCTACAATAAAATTATTATTCACAGTATTCTGGTTGGGTCTGTGTAAATGTCTGTCCCTCTGATCATATGGAAGACCTTGTGCTGTGAAACCCTGGGGTGTTTCCTGTAGGATGCTGTGCCTCTCCAGCAACTGGAATAGTTGACACAGCCTTCAGCAGTGTTGCAACCATCCAGTCTGTGAACTGGTCAGGTTCTGTCCCCTGCTGTAAAGCCTCTCATGCTCTCCCATGCCTCTGCAAGGCAAATTACATATCCTGAGACCTTTTTTACATTTCTAGGGTTGACGGGCCAATATAAAAACTCTTTGGCCAGAATTGTGACAATTCAGTCTTTTTTTGGAGCATTTTGGTCCATCCAGAAAACCATCTGCTTGCCCAAACAATCATCTGTTCAGTCAAAGGAGGTGAGTGGAAAGAAAGAGGAGGAGACTGGTTTCTCTCATTGTTTGTGCTTTTCTGACCCTTTCAGCTCTTTTCAGCCTGTTTCACTCCCATCCTGCCATTGCTGACCCTTGTGTTCAGCAGTGAACAGTGCCTACACAGCCCAATCATCTCTTCTTCCCATGGCAATTATGTAGAGCTCTCATTCTTCATTGTCTAGTCCATAAAACTGTTAAAACAGACCATGGCACCATCCTGTTGCATCAATTTGTGCTGTCCCAGGCAGGTCCTGAGTTTGCAAATGGAAGAGACCATTTCTATGAGGTAGCTTTGGAAGATGAAGCAGTTTAACAAAATGACTGTGATTTGTTCCATGCTGGACAGCAATCTTGTTTTTGTTCTCTGTAATTCTACCAGCATAGACTCAGATCAGGTAGGGCTGAGCAGGGTAATGAAAAGAGTCACTTAAGCTCAGTGGCCTCCATGTGTTGGCTGTTGGCATCTAAAATATCATTTTTTAGCCTTCACTGGCCTGTGGGCCACAGTTCTGTGCATGGCAGCTGAGCTGCTTCCACTCAGGGTGGGTGGATTGCTTGATTACAAGGTCTGGATGCCCTTGATGTCAAGGAGGCCTGGGAGTTCCTACTGGACACTGGAGCCTTCATCATTGTGGACATTTAGGGCTCTGTTTCATTACCCATATGAAGATTTGTAATACCCAAGACATCCATGGCCATGGCAGATACAACACAGTAACAAAAAGAGATCTGTGTGCCCCTGGAGCAGCAGCTCATGGCCAAACTGGATAACCCAGTTCCACTCAAATGGCAATGGGTGCCTGTGTTTGGGCAGCTGAACAGAGCCAATGAATTCGGATGTCTAAATCCATAATGTAAATACACCTAGATATGAAAAACTGTGGAAATCATTTTACCCTTTCCACTTGTTTTTCTCATCACCTATATTCTGGGGATTGTGGAAATTGTTCTTTCTCCTTATTTTTCCTCAGGACCACACATGTGAGAACTTCTGTGGGCTTCTGGCTCTGTCCCACAGCGGGCAGCAGCAACACACACAGGCAGCAGCACTCCAGCACTTCCCACAGACAAAGCTTGAGTGATCTTACCACCCTGGAATTTCTGTGTTGGTTTTGGCAGCAGCATAATAATGCCCTGCTTTTTCTGGTGTCAGCACTCACAAGCCCATGAGTCAGGGAAGTTGTGGAATTGCTGAAATTGCCAACCTAGAGCTTCAGTATGGCTGGTGAGCAGCGGAAAGTCCTGATGCTTGTCTAGAGCTCTTTGCATCAGACATGTAGAAGCATGGCTGGGAAATGCCATGCTGATACTGTGATGTCGTGGGCCTGTGCCTCCTGGAACACCTGGGCAGGACTGGGAATCCCTGTTCTCCTTGCAGGCAGGAGAGGGCAGTAGTAACACACACATTGACCCATCTGTCCCTGTTACCAAAACTGACTGCAGGAGGATGTGGCCTTTCTATTATTGACAGACCTCCCTGAGCAATTTCCTGGTGCTTTTATCTGATGGGACAGGGAGAAAAGTAGTTTTTATTCCTAATAATTTCTGGATAACAGCCTACAAGCCCGAAGTTCATGGGGGTTAGAGGCAGGGCACGCCCATGATACCTCATCTCAGTAGTGAAGGAGGCTGAGAAAGTGGATATGGGGTGGTGAGAAAGGATAGTGAGGCTCTTATGTGCCCCTGAGTGGCACAGCCTTTGGGGACAGGACATAAAAGTGACCCCCCAATTATTACAACCCATGGCTTTGTGATTTCTCACTAGAGCCAGGGAAAAATGAGGAAAATTTGCATCATTTTGGTTGAATTATGTTCTGTAGATGGGAAAAATCCTCATCTGGGAGGCAGGATCTTAAGGGGCTACACAGCAATGGGGAGACACAACTTGCAGAGAGGAATTTCTTCTGGCCAGCTGCTCTATTTTCATGCCTCTGAAACCCCTGGAGCCCTTAAATGTGGATAGAAGTAAGAATAAGATAATATTCCACTTACATTATTCCTTTTAATGTGCAGGGGAATTAGAAACATGGTATATGAGGTCTCTCATCACATTCATAACCAGAAAATTCCTGCTGACCCACATGGTGATGCTGTTATCATCCCAGGGAAGGACCACAGACTACATTCATGGGATTCACAAGCATGAGATGTTTGAGTGCATCTCATCCCTGGGTCACTGTCAGTGCTCTGGGTACAAGAGGGACACCAAGGCCAGGAATCTTGCCAAAGCAGAATTGGGATACCCAGGCCAATCCTCTTGCTGGTCAGCCCTTCCCCCAAGTACAGGGAAATTCCTCCCTGTTGGATATATCACAGCCTGGAAGGGTTTTCAAACACTTCCAGCACGGAGGGGATGATTTGAGAGCTCAGATTTGTGGTCTCAGCTCTACTTCAGCCTCAAATATGAAACTGCAGTGAGCACAGCAAGACTGTGAACGTGTTCAAGGTTACCCCACACAGTCAGACCACACACCTAGGGCAGGTCTGCCCTACTCCACACAGACTATTTATTCCTGTTTCCCATGGCTCATGAAGGCTAATTCTTCCCTCATCAAGGCTAATTAACCTAGAAGAAATGTTATCCTAACATGATGTTACTGCTCCAGGGAGACGAGTGGCTTGTTTAGAGTGAGGTCTGATGCCTCTTTGTGTCTTTAATGTCTTTAGCAAAGCTCCCCTGCTGCTGTACATTGTTCCAGTGCCTTTGACTTCAGGGGAGCTCTTGCAGTCTGCATCCAGAGAGGATCTGTCCTTCTGCAAACCAGCTCTCCCCCAGCAGACTAATGATAATTATCCAACAGTAACCAGTACTTCAGCAAAGGCTCAGATCTCCTGCTCACACACAAACAGGAGACAAAGCCATTTCCATCCTATAGATCTTACCATGTAATAATGTCCTCTGTTCTCATCTAAACCAAAGCATCTGGGAAGATGTGCATGCCCCCTTAACTGCAGGCAATGAGAGCACAGCCACTAAAACCCCACTTCAGTAAATCAGGTCCCTCTTTCAGCATCTCTGAGGAGGATCTCACTCACCCACAGCCTGAGAGCACTGCTGCGATAGCAGCCACCACAATCCCAGCTCCATACTCCCACTCCTCCCTCCCCCAGCCCACAGATCCAACATGGAGAAGTGACAGACCAATTTCTTTTTTCGCTTCCCCTCCCTCCTTACTTGGTCGCTAGGATCATCTTTTTCCTCGCTGTCTGCTCTTTCTGTTCCATGTGCTGTCTGGCAATGTGCTCTCCTACTGCCTTGGCAGGGAACTCTGTTTCACAGGTGTAGCCGAAATCTCTGGCCAAATGTAGCGCTTCCCCTGCGGTCAAACAAAATGGGTCAGTCATTTCTTAGGGTAATTATTACCATCATCATCGTTATTATATTGTTGTTATTATTGTTACAGTTTATTACACTCTTTGAAAAAAAAAAAAAACCCAAACATTAGCAAATCACTTTGTAGACAGTGATTCTCAAGTTACACATTTCAGCCCAATTGGCCTGTTGATGTTTAGGCATCAGCTGGTGCCAGGCAGAAGATAGGAAGGATATTTCTCTCATCAGATGGAAAGATGTCTCTCTCAGGAGAAAATACTGGCTGAGACACTTGGCCCTGTCTTGCCACCAGTGAGTATTGGGCAGCAACCCAAATTTGCAAGCCCTGTTCATCATCAATATTCAAGGTATGGAAAAGAGCAGAAAGGGGGAATTAACAACTTTGAAGACCTGAGTCAGCCTGTGGTGCTTCACTGCCTGTGTCTAATGGAAGAAGAGCCCTCTACCCCAGGAAAGACCCATGGGGATAACACACATTCCAGTACATTTGCTTAGAGGTTAAGCCATCAGTACAAGTGTCCCACACCAGAAAAGAGCAGACCCCAGGGGAGAACTCAATAAATAACCTTGTTTCCAGAAGGATTGCAAACAAAACTGACCAGGCAAAACAGCAAGGGAAAATGATGAAGATGGCAGTTGCACTGAGCACATCTCTACCTCACTGCAAAGGCTGAACACAAGAACCCAACTCTGTGCTGGCTGCCAAATGCCTCTGGAAGGGCAGGACCCTCTTCACTATCTTAGAGAGCCCAGAATTTAATTTTAGGGCTTACTGAACACTCTGACCTGCGCGCTGTGACTCTGACAACCTCAGTATGGGATTTATCTGATCAAAAGCAGCTGCCTAGATTGTGAACAGCTGTGCCTAAGTTAGTTTTGCCTGGTGGGAAATAGGCACTTCCAGATGACACTTGCTCTCATCTCATTGCAGAAAGAAGAAATAGGTCAGCTACCAGAAGCGTATGTTGAAGCACATCTGCATGAGTGACTAACAGAGATGTGCTCCAGAATAGTTTTGGAGTTCAGGGGTTGTGGGTTTTTCACTTTTCTTTTTTTTTGTTTCAGAGTTGTGTGTTTGATTGCCATCAGGAGAAGCAGCATTGGACTCTGGCTCTTGAAGTTCAAAAGGCTGAAGCTGTCAGGAGGGATACAGGACATGCAACTCCTCACTTTGAGAATATCTGCAGTGGAATCCATCAGATTAAATGTCAATATTGATGTCTGACTTAATACTTTCAAGTCAATGGAGACAAAGTAGCACTTGAAGCATGTATCATCCTATCCTAGAGTCGAAGGCAAAAGGGAATCAGAGGAATTATGGAAAGTCTAGATTAGAACTCAGGAAATCACCTTCTGCTGACAGCATCACCTTAGATGAGGTTATTCAAGGCTTTTCCAAGCCTAGTTTTGAGTGTTTCCAGCTATGGAAATTCCACAGCTGTTCTGAGTAACATAATAAAATGTTAATTATTAATTTAACTTCATTTAATCATGAATTTAAATCATTAAACCCAGAAGTGCTGGTTTCTCCCTGTTTACTATGATCTGACATGAGAAGGTGCAACTGCAGTGAAGGTGGGGAGATGAATCCCATGCTCAGCAGGGCTTGGTTAAGCCAAGGAAGAGGAGAAGTTCCATGGAAACAGTGGTCCTGTGCCAGGGACAGTATGAGGAATAAGAAACTGCATGCACTGACCTCTACTTGAACTCCATTCTCCCTCTTCTGAGATATTATTGTCTCCCCTTCTGCCACTGGAGTTTTCATGGAAAAACACCTTTTGATTCCACAAGAAAATACTTTACTGTGTGTTTATCTGCCCCAGTTTATTCAGGTAGTGACAAAATCCATGCACCACTCCCAGGAAATCTGTTTGCTGATACCAGCCAGCTACAACCTCTGCAGCTGTAACCAACTTTACAGCAAAAATTGAAGATTATAGTCAAAATCATCTGCTTTCTCTGGATTTTTTTAAAACATGATTTTTCAGTATTCCTAAAAAGAATGAAGACATTAACAAGCAATCAGTACCCCTGAGTTGAAAGGAGAAACTGTTTCCACTTAGTTTGCAGCTTCTACAAAAGTAAAATAATTTCCAGTGAAAGCAAAATGTGTTTCAGTGATAACAGAGAATCAGAACGAACAGGCATAGAGCTGACTGATTGCTTTGTGCTTCAAACATCTATCCCAGGCTTCTTCATGGGAGAGAAAGGGTACAAATTTAAGCCATAGATTTTACATTTCTGTAGAGCAGTTTCAAAAGGTCTATTTCAGAATATGCTTTTATTCTTCCTTAAATAAAGACTTGCAGAGTAAATCTATTTCAGAAGAGCACCAGGGTTTTCTTTTCAACAAGAAAATACTTAAAATACTTTGTAGGTTTATCTTCATTCCAGCATGGAAAGAAAATAAAAGTCAAACCCTTTGAAGCTGTCATCAGGTGGAATTGCAATTTTCCAGACAGCTTCATCATGGTCCCAGTCAGTCCCAGTAACAGTACAAGGAATGTAGACAGCAAAGAATTTAAACATTTAGCCATTGGAAAAGTGTTGGTTTCTTCAAGAGAGCAGAGCTTTTTGTCTTGAAATGTAGGCATTCATTTAACATGATCAAAAATTAAGTGACTGAAATGTGAATGTTTCCACTGACTGTTAGAAAAAAAGGGAATTAAAATGTGAATTGTCATTCAAATTTATATTTATAAAGATGGTTTATATTATTTTCTAGAGCTGAGAAAATTGTACTAAACTGTTCTGATAATCTGAGAAAATGATTCAAAGGTATAAAACCTGTCTGGGGCTGGGGTTGTGACTGTGATATAAAACCATTTAAGCAAAAAGAAACAAAATTACTTATCTCTTCATGGATATAGATTGGTAAAAATGTAGATACAAATGTAATTACTGTTTTTAATGAAGTAATAATTAAAATAATTTAAATTAAAATTGAAAATATTTTTTGCTGGAAATGGAAAGCTCACATATACTAAAAATGCATGTTAGAGCTATGCATATTTATTCATATAAGCATGCATATGCTATAAGGAGCAGGCATCCTGAATTCTAAGTACAAATTCTAAATTAAAAAAAAATTTAAAAATTTGGACTTGAGAACACTCTGCAGAGCATAATTTCTCCTATCTCATTGTTAAGCAAAGATGTAATTTCAAACCAGGACCAAATGATAATTTGATATTTAGAAGTGTACTGTGATATACTTTTTTTTTGTGACTAGATATCCCTTTGATTACTGTACAGTAGGATTAAGTCTGCTTGCTGGGGGAAAGTAGTTTATACAGTGTCATAGAATATGTTCTTTCTTTTTCTACAGCACAATTTGGACAAACATTTACTTTGGGAGAAAATGTGTAAATGTTGGAAATGTGGATGAATTGACCTTTTTCTTCTACCTTAGATTTCCAATTTTCTGCCTAGTTGTTATTTACCTCATGACAGGAATCACAATAAAGGCAGAAACCACTTAATCCCCTTACTTTTCTAGTTACTTGCCTTGTTTCAATCTAAATTCAACCTAAAATCCTAATTCTAAAAACCTAAAATCCAATTTCCCCGTGTGAAAATGTGGATGAACCAACCTTTTTTCTTTTACCTTAGATTTCCCATCTTCTGCCTAGTTGTTATTTACCTCACAGCAGCAATCACAATAAAGGTAGAAACAACTAAAACCCCTTACTGTTATAGTTACTCGCTTTGTTTCAATCTAAATTCAACCTAAAATCCTAATCCTAAAAACCAATTTCTCCATGTGGAAATGTGGATGAATTGACCTTTTTCTTTTACCTTAGATTTCCAATCTTCTGCCTAGTTGTTGTTTAACTCACAGTAGCAATCACAATAAAGGTAGAAACAACTAAACCCCCTTACTATTATAGTTACTTGCCTTGTTTCAATCTAAATTCAACCTAAAATCCTAATTCTAAAAACCTAAAATTCAATTTCCCTGTGTGGAAATGTGGATGAATTGATCTTTTTTCTTTTACCTTAGATTTCCCATCTTCTGCCTAGTTGTTGTTTAACTCACAGTAGCAATCATAATAAAGGTAGAAACAACTAAACCCCCTTGACTATTATAGTTACTTGACTTGTTTCAATCTAAATTCAACCTAAAATCCTAATCCTAAAAACCTAAAATTCAATTTCCCCGTGTGAAAATGTGGATGAACCTTTTTTCTTTTACCTTAGATTTCCCATCTTCTGCCTAGTTGTTATTTACCTCACAGTAGGAATCACGATAAAGGTAGAAACAGCTAAAACCCCTGCCTATTATAGTTACTTGCTTTGTTTCAATCTAAATTCAAGCTAAACCCCAATTTCCCTGTGTGTGACACCCCCAGCTCTTCCCACCTGCCAAGATAAAGAGAAATGCTGGGAATCTTGGACTCTCCTTAAACCCAGCTCTGCATCTCCTGCCTCTCGTCTGCAGTTTGACAATTGACCAGCGAGCTTGGCACGATGGAAAAGGGACAAGTGCTGGGGCAGAATGGGCAGGGCCAGCTCTGGAAAGCCTCAGCACCTTGAAAGGTTTCTGTGGGCAGGTGCAAGGAGCAGAGTGAGGGTCCCCTGGGGCCAGCAAGAGTGAGAGCTGCTCCGATGAGGAGTGAAGGCAGGAGCTGTGTCCCCAGGAGAGGGACACTCGGCATCTGAACCTCCCACTCTCCTCGGCTGAGCCTCCTCCGGATGCTCTACCCGGCAGAAATGTTACTCAGGGGGAGGAGGGACAGGCGGGAGGTGGAGGGAAAGTTTATTCTATTTGTAGGGTGAGAAGGGAGGAGGAACAAGTGGAAGGATGTTTAAACAAAGGCTGGTGGGGGAGAAGTGTGATAGTTGAGAGCACGATGAAAAAAGAAACCACTGACCTATTTTGCTCAAGAGTTTTTGTCCCCAAATGATGAATGTCATTAATTCTCTGTCTAGGAAATTTAGTGTCTTAATCAGGTTTGACAGAAAAACAAACTCTCGGATTTTTTATTAGTTTTTCTTCTTTTTTTTTTTTTTTTAATCTGATGGTTTAAGAATCATTCATGCACTGCTTTAACCTGCATCTGCAATCACATTTATGCCTTGTTAAGTGACCCATTCAAACAGAAGGGGGCACATCCCCCTTTTCACGTCCTTTCTTGCTTCTGCTGGACAAGCTTTTGACTCTTTTGAGCCCACATTTCCAAGCTTAGCCTTGGAAATACTAGTATTTGTCTGAGAAGACTTTATTTTACAGCTAATATGTAGGAATCTTCCTTTTGGAGCTCGTAAGAAAAATGACCTTTCCCTCCATCTAGTCCAGGCACTAGAGGGCATCCCTCGCCTGCAGGTTACACAAAGATGTGTCCCCAAACTGCTCAGGAGAGCCCTGCAACGCTGACTTCACCCTCCCTGTCTGCCTTTCCACTCGTGGTGCTGATTTATGTGCATGACAAAGAGAACAGAACTGAGCTGTCAAACAATTCTTATTTTGGTCCCTAACAAAGACTCTAAAGATGTGACCTGATCCAGCCAGCAGTAAGCTTCCTGCAGCAGAGCAGAACTCCAAAGAGAAAAAACTTTGCAGAAAACACGAGGCCACAGAGTAATGTTCATAAAATCTGGACCTTCATGTGACAGCCAAAGCCTAGAAATAAATTTCAGTTCCTCCTTGAGTTTAACGGACTCCCCAAAACTCAATGATTTCAGTATGTTTTAGAGGAAGAGAAGTATGAGTCATGACAGAGATTTTTGACTTGGTTTTGGTCAATAAACACAATAATGCAACTAATTATGCCTTATCTTGTATCACATAGATATTCAAGAGTTTGGGCATGCTTTTTTCTTAAAGATATATTAAAACCTCAATATATTGAAGACTGGGAGGACTTATAGTAATAATAAATTTGGAACCATCTAAAGAAGTCAAGAGTGACACAGTCCTGGGTTATTATGAGAGGTACACAAAGTGTGCTTGATATTTTAGAGATTTATAAAACTAACAAATTATAATTATTATTTCTATTTCTGTATTGCTATCACACAGAAAAAGCTCATGTTGGGAGTTGGAGAGGAGGGTTTGAATCCTTCTCTCTGGATTCTCTAAACCACAGAATGAGCCTGTGTCCTTCCATTTCTGCCTCCTCCAACAGCAGGAACTGATGAAGGATGGTTTTCCTTTAAGAAATTGTGCTGTAAGTTAGTTCCACTTAGAAGGAATATCTGCATGTCCAAAGTGAGAACAGCTTATACTACCAAGAATTCAATGAGCACCACCAAGTTTGACCCAGAACTGGTTACACAGACAGGAAATGAGCTTCACTTGGTTTTCTGTGGGAATGTTAATATGGTGGTGCCAGTCCCAAAAATTCCATGGGATAAAATTCACAATTAGCATATCCAGGCAAAAAGGTCTCTGCCAAAGTGAGCTCAGGCACATTAGTATTTGTCTTTAGGACTCACAGCAAGGCAAAGGAAAGCAAGGCAAGTCCAAGAACAGAAGCAACACCGTAGGCTTGAAAGCAGGTTTGTTACTGGCTTTGAATAAAGGGCAAGGAGGTGGGCACAGCTCCATTCCTGGGAAGCAAGAATCTAACCCTGACTTAGAGTAAAGGTTCTCAGCCATCAGCCCCAGGTCAGCAGCTGTCAGACAGGTACCTCCCTCTCAGTCTCTTCTGATGAATGAACAGCTGGTCACATAGAATCCCAAAACCATGGAATGGTCTGGGTTGGAAGAAACCTTAAAGATCAACCAGCTCCACCCCCTGCCATGGTCAGGGACAGCTTCCACCATCCCAGGCTGCTCCAAGCCCTGTCCAGCCGGGTCTTGGACACTTCCAGGGATCCAGGGGCAGCCACAGCTTCTCTGGGAAATCTGTGCCAGGGCCTCACCACCCTCACAGGGAGGAATTTCTTCCTGATTTCAGCTTAAAGCCATTGCTCTGTTTACTAATAAAACCCAGCTGTGTTTATTCTACTCTGACCTGGGATGCCTGAATGTGGGAACAGCCCTTGCTCCTCTAACTTGGTACCTTTTCTAAGACTGTAACTCCATGAGAGGTTCCTCTTGCAAGCAGGTGTGATATGTATATAAATACACACCTGTATTTCAGAGCAGCCCCACTGAACTTCCCTGTGCTCAGTGACCCCTGAAAAATCTCAGTCTCTTGTCGTAGATGCTGAAAATCATCAGTGTTGAGGATTCAATGCTATTTCTGCCTTGAAGAGTCTCCATCCTTTGGGATAATAAAAAACTCACAAAGTCCTGAGCAAGCTCTTCTAATTGACCCTGCTTTGAGCAGGAGGATTGGCTTGGGAGATCACCAGAGGTGTTGTCCAGCCTCAATCCTTCTGTAATTCCATAATTCCGTGGTAATAGGTGCTGAGACCTCAGCCTACTTGCCTAGATCTGTATGGCCCTTTCAGGCTATGATTGTAGAAGGCATTGACCTTTAGGATGAGCTGAGTTCTCTCAGCATCAAGGAGGAGGGATCTGAAATTCCCAGAGCTGCAGCTCACAGCCAAACAACAAACTGGGTACTTAGTGGATTCACCCAGAACAGAAGAGATGCAGGTAGAGTTTCTTCCCTTTGCCTGAGGGGTTTGAACCTGCATCTCCCAGCTGAAGGTTTGAAGAACCTGGCAGTATTTGGTGAATGATATTTAAACAACAAATAAAGGCCAAGAAAGTATCTCCTGAGCCTGTCTAGATATTATCTGAAAACAGATTTCATTCATTTATGTGTGTGGGGAAAAGGCTTGTCTAAATATTATGCTTTCTTATGGGAGACAAAAAAAAATCATCACATTTTTGGACCAACTCCAGGAAATTCATAAGTTAAAAAAAAAGAAAAGGAGGATAAACAAACCTACTTACAGAGTTAGTATAAGACATTCATCTCTCTCACAAGAACACTCAGAACATCGATTTGTAAGCACAAATCAATGCTGAGGAAACTGCAGAACCAAGACTCTTGCTGGGAGCCAAGATACCTCAGAGTAAACTTCCATTCTGCAACTCACTCTTTCTGTGGCTTTAGGCAAGTCAGGTCTCTTTATACAAAATACAGATTATGGAATTTAACCCTATGGCTGAAAAGGGTTGCATGCCACGAAACATTTTAATTATGGTTATATTATATTGCAATATTAGAGACCCTACCTTCTACCAGGGAAGTCAGGAGTGTGACATTTGCTGCTTTTCTTCTTCCTGCAGGCAAATTTAGTCCAAGTCTGTCTAATTTTTCTCTCAAGCAGCGTCCTCCGTTCTTGGATTTTGCTCTGTCATGAGAGAACAGCAGGAAAGAGAGATATTTGTCATTATTCTGCACCTTTCCCCCACATAAGCCTAGAAATTGTGCGCACTTCATTGACAAATATGTGGGGTAGTGCCTGCAGTAGTGGCATCCATGGGAAATATTTCAGAGCTGTATTCTTAATTTCCTGCTTGCTCTAGGTGATTCTTTAACATCAGTTTTTGGCAGAGTTAGAGGCTGTAATGCCTGTCATGGGGGCATCAGATCTTCAGGCAGTTTCCACCTAGTGGAGCCCAGAGTCCTGATTTGGGCATGACACCTGGGGTAACAGTGACTAAATGTAAATATTGACAGTGCAAACACTTACACCTGATTTAGCCAAGCCAGGCTCCAAAGACAAATTAGACAGAAACATGACCTTAGAATTAGATTAAACAGATATCCACGAGTGAACTTTACTCATCTGGCTTGTCTGGCTGTTAAAGAAAGCCAGATAGCTACTTAAATGTAGATGTCTATGTGGAAACCAGCTCTAACTATCCCTCTATAATTTATGTAGAGACCTGGGCATTTAGAAATGTTGTCTCCTAAGCCCCAAACTCACAAGTAATAAGGCCAAAGCAATAGGAAATGCTGAAGCTAAAATCTCAGCCATCATTGGTTATCTGTACCCCTATGCCAAACATCTATATCCCATTGTTCTCACAAAATGGGTCCTGGTGTGTCCCAGCTACTTTTCTACAGTGTTTGAGGCATTTCAGACAAATTCACTTATGCAGCAGATGTAGGTTCAAATTCTTCCTCAGCCTGAGGGAATTTTAACCTGTATCTTTCAAACAGATGCAGCAGTCAGCTGACAGCAAATAACTAATGTTAAAATGCTTCAACAATGAATAAAACAGTGACTGGAACCCTGATATCTCCCATCCCAAATGAATGACCTGTCCTTTAATTAGATAAGAGTCTACACCTTTGCTTTTTGTACAAGAAATACATAATTAACCCCAAACGAGATTGAAGGGTCCACAGCTTAGAAAAAGTAATCACTGAGTAGCAAAAATAATTAGCTAAATACTTTGAGGTTCATGTTCAAGTTCCTTCAGGCAGAGGAGGAAACCAAACACAGAGTATCACCATTTGGATGTCTGCTTTTATGCATTAAAAGATAACAAAACTTTGGCCACATTATTTGTCAGAAATATCTTCTGAAAAGATTTTTTTCTTTATTCAGAAGAACACTTTATTCCCAAAGCAAGCTATTTGGGAAGATAGGTAACCAGTGACTGCTGACAGGATGCAGAAACAAGCCTTCAAGGTCTCAGGCAAACAATCAATGAGATTTTGTTTTCCTACATCTTTCCTGGTCAAATACACAGAGCCTGTTCCCTAGCTGTGAAACCCTCAGTTACAAACTGACCAAATCTCTTCCCTTGCTCTCTCTGATTCATAAAACTGAATTAGCACATCCAAACTGCAGACAGGGATGCGTCCCTGGCTTTTGCAAACTCCTAAACCGTGCCAAGGATTAATTTGGGAGAGGAGATATTTAGTCTGGGTCAAAAACCTGTGGGGGTCATTCAAGCATTTTAACAGAGGAGAGAAGTGAGCCCCCACATTCAAGTCGATGCCCTTGAATCCATAATAGCTTGCACTGTATTGATGAAATGTGCAGCACGAGTATTTAAATCAGAATTAGCTGAAGGTTTCTCCAGGATGAAACAAACAGAGGGGAAAATTTTGGTGAATGTAGATTTTGGATTCCAATGCTCATAGAGGCAGTTGAATGGGACTTACACCTTGGAAACAATTTATAGTCTATAGTCATTATTCTCCAAGATGTGTCAAGACAGCTCTGGAGTGGCTGCATGTCTCATGCTGGTTAAAATGACTTTCAGTACAAGCAGGAGGATCAGTGTGGCCCTCAGTGCCAGCAGTGAAATGGCCCATGACTTTGCAGCTAGTTTTGATCAAAGGGTGTTCAAGCAGCTGATGCCATCTGAGCTGACGCCTCAGGGACACCGTGACTTAGACATGCCTGGCTGAATTACAGTTTCCTCCTGGTTTTCCTCTTGCAGTGTGAGGCACAGTCTGCCCCTTTCCTTCTTTCTGCTCCTGCTCTCTGCAGGTGGCTGCTCTGGTCAGTGAAGGGTCAGAGGCAAAATTTTACCTTAGTATTTACTTCTCCCCAAATGTGTCTCACAACGAGAATAGTAAAACCAGATTATTCTGTCTTTTTTGCACTCAAAAAAACATGCAGAGAAAGGAAGGAAAAGACATCTCTACATCTCAGTGTTTTATTTTTTTGTTGAGGGAGGGCTGTAACTACTGTAAAATGATTTGCTTTAAGACTGTTTTCAGCAAGAATTTAGATTTCTAGGTCTGGTGAAATTTTCCACACATTGAATTTCCTCCTTTTTTTGCTCAAAACAAGTCAAAGCAACATCTATCCACATCTGATGAGTAACTGAACAGAGGTCAAAAAAATCATTTTGATGAAAAATGTAAACTTCCTTATTTATTGAAAATTCCCCAGTGTTCCCTCCTGATCCATCCCCTTTTGTTCACCGCAAATGTGACCCTTATCCAAGTAAGGGAAAAGAATAAAACCTGTCTGTTGAAAATAAATAAAATTACAGCAATTACTGCATTGCCTAGGAGTTGTTATCCTCACCTTCAACTTACCTTCTCAAAATACCTCCGAGGAGGGAGGCGTTGAGGCATTCTGGTGGTGAAAGGCGCCTCTTCACCTCTGCAATGGTCACTTTGTACTTGGAAGTGGAGCTGAGCAGGGACAAGCGACCAGGAACGGAGCAGAACAGGTCAGTGGGGTTGACAACACAGGTGCCACCTTCAAAAAAAGGAATTAAAGTGAGGGAAGCCTCCTCTTCTGTGTTTTGGCAAACTCAGCCATAAAGAACAATTCCATGCTTCTCTTGTGGTTGGTTTGTTTGGGTTTGGTTTTGCTTAGGGTGTGTGTGGGTTTGGCTTTCTGTAATATTATTGTTCTGAGAAAAATGAATGTGCTGGAATTTCAGTGTGGGAACAGTGAATTATTAGATCTCATAATATTTACAGTCAGAACACCTTGTTATGGTTATTTGATATCATTTCATTTCATGCTCTGAAAAAATTCCTGATTATCACTGAGGTCTCTCCAATCTAGTATGATTAAAAAAATAAGATTGAACCCTCACTCACAATTTAAAATAAAACCACAGTTTGTGAAAATATTGAGACACTGATTCTAATGAGAAATGTTAAATTTAACTCTCATAGCAGTATCTAGAATTACAAAGATGCAAGAACATGGATATGCAGTGATTTGCAGCAAGAACAGCTTTCCACACCTTTGAACTCATAAATTCCTTCCAAAGTTAGGTCAAATCCTCAGCTGATATTAACGATTGAAATCTATTGAGCTACATCAGTTTATCTCAGGTTAGCTCTGAAATTGTTTATTTCTTGAGAGTGTCAATTACTTGGCCTGGGTCTAAAACTGCTGAATGATCACCAAATCTTTCAGTCAAGACTGTGATCAATAACTCCTCAGGCAAATCTGAGCTTTTAACTTAAAGTTTGTATGAGAGAGAGAAAGAGAGAAAACTTTCTCTTCAGCCAATCCAAGAGAGTAGAACAAATTCCCAGGGAAAAAAAAAAAGAAACAATCTTAAGGACTAACACATATTTTATCACCAAGCACAAAGCAATTTTCTTTGACCTGCCTTCTCCAACCTGACTACAACAAAAAAAATTCTGTGGAAGAAATAAACCTTACCACTGCATGCACTATTATTCCCTGGGGGAAAGATAAGAAAAAGAAGAATGAGCTGCATATGACAGTGATACAAAATATCATAAAATTCAATGCGCTACTAGAAGGAGTTCAGATGGTTTATGTGAGGATGGTGATGTGAAGACCTTCTTAGAGTAGAATTTATCTGTGCTCATCACTCATGCTTAAAGGAGGCATACTGTATCTTTTAAAATACCCTGATAGTTCCTTTTTTCCTGGGAACATCTTAATCTTTTTTAACTACAAAAGCTCACTTTGTTGCACTTAAAAATTTTGGCTTCTAACCTAAATTCTATAATGAGAATAGAATAGAATAGAATAGAATAGAATAGAATAGAATAGAATAGAATAGAATAGAATAGAATGACAATTCAAAGGTCCCTTTAGGCAAGATCCTACGCCTTTATCAACTTACACATGCAGCCCTCTTAAAATTAAGGTGACTCTGTTCCACTTCTCACAGAGACAGACTGAAGGATGAACCTTCATTAAATGCAGACTATTGCTTGCTTACATAAGGCAAACAGAATTTCTTTCCAAATATTTCAGCTCTTGAAGGTATATTTAAACATTTGTGCTGACAGCAACACCAGAAAAGAACATCTCTTGGTATCAGTCCCAGATGGGTGAGATCCTGACTCAGTACAGCAGGGTATTTTATGACTTCTAATTATGTTCCAGGGCAGATATTAGTGTCCACTTCTTAGACAGGATATAGAGACAATTCATTCATCACCAAAATATAGGCACATCAAGGGCACTGATGCACATTTTTACACAGCTCAAAGCTACAATTAATGAGCTCATGTGCTCAAACACAGAAATCTGGCGCCACACGCCTGAAATAATTTTGGGTCTGTGTTGTTTTGGTGTGTTTGGATTTTCTTTGGTAGATTTTCTTTTTTTTTTTTCTTCCCCAGAAAACCTGTAAATATTTTCAAGCAACATTTTCCAACTTCTGGTCTGTCAGGTACATTTGTGAAGAGCGTTAGCACTGAGTAGATCTGTTTGTTTGGCATCTGCCACACAATGCACATACACACGTGTATATATATATACGTGTCAAGAAAACAGTAGCACTGTCTACATATTTATTTACTTCAATGAGTCTCTAGATTTTATAACGAGTGAGACTCTACTGAAATCAGTGTCATATTAAAGTTCATCTCCTTGCCAGGTTAAGCCAGTATGTGCACCCTTTATGCCAGATAAATAATTGTTCCTTTAATCCAAAAACCTGTTACCCTGCAGCTGCTCCTACACTAACCAGAATTTAGTGGAACACTTCTTATTACTATTTAGTAGAAAGTTGCTGAAACATTTTAAAATATCATGCCCAAGCAGCATGATCTAAACCAAAGCAATTCCAGGTGAGCCAGGTATGGGTTAAAAGTAAAAGAACTCAGCAAGTCTTGATCATTTGCTTTCCAGAAACATGGGGAACAAGTAGCAAATTACAAGAAGGTAAAATCTATTGCATATAATTATTTCACTCTATTAATTATTCATTGACACAGCAACAGAGAGCGGTATGGTGTTTTCCAGATAAAGACATATCTTTGTCACAAACTGTGTGCATTTTTGAAGGCATGAATTTCCTCTCCACCTTGGAGAGGAGATGGATGAAGTCCTGGCCTTTGCACCAGGACTTCATCCTGGTTTACCAGGATGTTTACCACCTTTCTGTGGTAAACAGAAAAAGGCATAGAGGGCTGCTGGAAGGAGAGGAGAAAGGAGAAGGGCAGCCACACAGGAAGATGAAGGATTAGGTTTCTTGTCAAACACAAGCTTCAGAGTTCATTCCTTCCTTCCTTCTGATCATGTAGTTAGAGTGATTTTGCAAAGCAGCTTAAGATGAAGACCACAAGATATGTTTTAAGGTGAACTAAACAGCAGTGGCAACAACCAGCTTTTTTTCCTGTCAACACAATGCCACTGTAGGTGCTGCTGGAAAAGTCAATGCTCGCTTAATTGTTGACCCAATCTTGTCATAACAGAGTGCTTGAGAGGTGGGATGCTAAGATACCAGCAGAAAAAGCAGAAATAATGCCTCAAAAACAGAGTGGAAATAATGGTTTTTGTGAGTCTAGTGATTCAGCCTGGAGATCCCTATTACTCTCAGCAGTTTTTGCTGGCTTTGGAAATCTTTGCAGACTGACTTCTACTGCCAGGACACATAAGAACCCCTCAGCTCATCAAATTAAGAGCCCCACATGCAGGAACGACAAAGAAATCTGCCCCCAGATTTCTTTGTGCCCCACAACAGTGTGCCTGAAGAAGGGAAAGCTGTGGCCCTTGCACCCTAGCTCGTTATCCATGGCATTCATCCTATGGCACAGCCAGAAAATGGAAAAGGAGAGCAGGCAGACAGTGAGATAACTGGTGGGATCATCCAGCTGATTGCTTCAGCAATTTTGTGCTCTGAGTACCAGGTGAAATGGGCCTCTGAGTGTTGAGAAGACTCTTTTTAGGACAACTGTTTATTCCCATAGGGAAGTGAATACATGGTCTGATCTGACTTCATCTGTTGCCATAAGGTACTACTTTGGAGATGGCTGTAAATGGTGATGATTGTGCTCTTACAGCCAGAGATCTGGAAACAGAGGCAGGACAAGATTTCGGCAATGGGAGAATTATAATTTATATTGCAAATGATAGATTGGGGAAAAAAAGAAAGGAGGGAAGATTTCAGGCACTCAGTCCCTTGTTCAAGGCTTCTCTCTCATCCAACTCTATTCCATTACTTTATTCATGACAGAGTTTTAGTCTCTGATCTGTCATCTTCATGTTGATTTCAATAAATGCAATTTGTTTTTGCAATAAACACAAAATAATGGGCTGGAAAGAGAGATGCTTTGTGCAGCTGACCTCATTTAAGTGACAGACCAAGGGCCCAAAACTGCTGTGTACTGAACCCCCAAATCACCTCAAGAGAACATATATAACCTGATGTAGTTAAAGATGTTCCTGCTCATTGCAAAGGGTTGGACAAGATGACCTTTAAAGGTCTCTTCCAACACAAAATATTCTATGATTCTAATCTATTATTATTTTCAAGTGAGAAAGGGGAATGACAAAAGATTAAGTTTGTTTTTATTAGTTTACTTTGGGGGCCCAATCTTTTTCCTTCTGACTGACTGGTTCATGCTCCACACATGAAGTGTCCCCCTTCATGAGAACTGTGCTTTTGCTTGGTTTCCCAAGCCTAGAACAAACAAAAGTTAGGCTATGTGGTACTGGAAAAGGTATTCAGAGCGAACATGGGGAGAGCATTTTCCCTCTCTCATTCCTGTCTCCACATCAAATAGCACACGTGGGTACAAAATGCCAGCACAAGTGATGATGGGTTGTGCAGATGACAGCAGGGAGAACAGAGCCATGCTCTAACCCACCCATCTTGTCAGCACAATGAAAATCCCAATAACACACGTGGTGAGGGAGCTGGCTGGGAGCTGGCTCTGTTTTGGTTGCAGGTTCCCTTTGTACAGATGAAGAGAACAATGGGGTGGCTGGAGTGTGGTGGTTTATTCTGGTTTAGTTACTCGGGCACCTGCTGAAATGCAAGGCTCCCTTACACCATCAGAGTAAAATATTTGTGCTTCCTTTCATTAATAAAATCAACATTCTGGAATATTTTTATACTTTCCATAAGCAATGTTTTTGTTTTTTTCAGGAATGGCAGAGACAAATGTCCATCAATGTCACTAGATGGTTTTTACACTTTAAATACATTTTCTTCTAAAATATATGTCTATAATTTTGTGCATCCTTACACTCTGCAAGGCCATCTTTTAGTTGTTAAGTGTAACAGCCACAATATGACGAGTGTTTTATATTCATTCAATACAACATAGTCCCTTTCTCCAAGACATTCACCTATAAATGTCATGCACCTATGTAAGGAAACATCATAATAAACTGGTGACAACACTGCAGAAGTGCTGTTTATTTTGTTTTTCAGGATATAGACATTTGTGTACATTATTAAGTATAAGTACACCTGGATGTCAACAGATTGATCTTATATAAAATATTAATAGCATGCTATGCTTTTT